AAGACGAAATAAAGCTGATATTAGGGATGATTTACCAGCACCTGTCCGGCCAACTATCTCAATCTATATAATAAAACAAATAAACAATTAAAGTGCGCATATTTTAGATTACAATGGTTATGTAAACAGTGAAGTCCATTGTAATCGCTGACAGGCTATTTAACACAACTAAAAGAAAATGCTAAACTCAAACCCAAGACTGATGTGTTTAAATAAGCTCTACAAACATGAAGTGCTAGCCCTCGTAGGCGAGATCATGCATGTGCTGTTTGAAAGACGTATTAAAATTGCCTCTCCGAGACCTCGTCTAGTAAGGCTGCAGCAAATTCAGCTATAGAACTATACTCACTAAGTTGTTTGTTGGTTATTATTCTAACCTTTAAATGGTGAAAATTTGATTTCAGAATTACATAGAAAAATAGTGAAAATCTAAATTCGTCAAACAACTATACAATGATGCTTGCAGAAGCATGCGATCCCTACGCTGATTTCAAACACGAGGAGAATCATATTGGTAGAGCTATATGATTCTAAATATATATATATATATATATATATATATATATATATATATATATATATATATATATATATATATATATTTGTCAGGGAAAACAGTATGCAAACTGTTTACGACCTTAGCATTGCGTAAGCATTGGACGTCAATTTTCGCCATCTTGGCTTCACTTTTCTCATAGGCCGATTGACTGAAAATCTTGCTCGTAATACATAATATAGAGCTTAGATATTCCACTAATCCAAGTAGACTTCACGTAAACACCCGCCAAATTAGTGTAAATGTAATACCTTTTCTTTGGGTTTAATACGAAACTTGATGCCTTTCAGGACTGGTGGAAGAGAGGAATGGTAACGGAATACAACAGTCTCACCAATAATTTCACCATGCTGTGGCCAGGCATCTGCTGGTTTACCAGTTAATTCCTCTAGCTCTGCTTCAGATTCGATTTGGGTGTATTGCTGCACTCGTTCTACCGACACCATCTGAATACGAGATAAATACACTCTTAAACCAATATAGCATTAAATAAGGCCAAGTTACACGAAGCATGCAATACAATTTGGAACTTGTAATACAATTTCGGTTATAGACCTGTGTTGTCTAAAAAGTAGCCACAGAGTATCTTCCTCCGCAGGCAATTTGGTTGCAAACAAGCGCAAATATCCCCTGTTATCAGTTTCTTTATAAGTTAAAGGTGCATTGTGAGAACATGTTTACTTCGCTTTCATCGAACTGTGGTACACATCAAAATATTTGCTTACATAATGTAAATGTATACGACTCCGCCCCCATAATGTTTTGTAAAAAGAACTGGTCACATCGTTTGGATATAGTTGCACATGCATGCATGAAACTTTATATAAATGTCCAGTGTAACGTGTATGGATAAATATCAGGATTTTTGGATATCTCACTTGATAGAACTAATTGTAGAAGAGTTTTTGTACCTGGAAATTTCGAGTGTAAATACTTTAATACATTTCTAGACCTTTGCACTGCCACATTATAGAACGATAGTCATGTCATTACCTGATTTTCAACTTCAGCAGTTTGTCTGACACAAAATTGGAACATATCAGTAAGACGTTTTGTATAGAGTAACGATAAACCAACGAGAACAGGATTCACGCCTAACACACAACTTGAAATTAGTGATGTAGTCCTGGAATTCTAACATGGGGCACAAGCGGGCCTGGGTAGCGGTGGTGAAGTTAGCAGTGGGGGGGGGGTGAAAAAGGGGAGTATCTCTTTTACAGATGTGTTTATATCACAAATAATTATAAGCTGGTGGCACCGGTACCTGCCCGCACCCACAGTGCCATCTTTCTCTGGTTTGAATACAGGGAGCCCAAGCGGTGATCTGTGTTTTAATTGAATTATTTCACTACATTACACTAATATGTCATATAATATTAATAATACTCCTATAGTCGAACATATTATAGCAACATATAAGTTGATTTTTCAGTTTATTTAAGATCTATTATTAGCTTATATATTAGCGTGTATCCTGCGAACGGGCTGTCAGGTTCGAAAGGCGGTGCTTTTATATAAGCTAATAATAGATCTTAAATAAATAAAAAACATACAAATCAACTTATATGTTGTTATTATATGTTCGACTATAGGAGTATTATTATTATTATATGACATATTAGTGTAATGTAGTGAAATAATTAAATTAAAACACAGATCAACGCTTGGGCTCCCTATGGTGCCCTTTTCCAGCGGCTGGTTGTTCAAAGCACGGTTAGCACTAACGCAGGGTTAAAATTTGACCCATTGTTTTGGTTTACAGTATATGTATTTCTGCTCGTCTGTTTATTTCAGAACTTTACAGAAAACTAAACTTCGGATGATCTAGACAAGATCTCTAAAAAATGTTTCCAACAAATTGTTGGACGTTTTCTTCGAATTTTACGTTAACTCAGGATTAAGCTAATCCGCATTTGAACAACCAGGCTGAGGAAACGGTGTTGCAGAGACTTTAAGACCCTTCTATACACGATACCACTGGTCGTTACGATTCTTATCCTGGAGTATATGCTCGAATAAATGCGTGTAAAGATGTCACATTTAATATATCGCCATAAACTGATGAACAGGAAATAGTGGCGTCAGCAGTCGTTTTATACGCCAGAATGACAATCGCATACGACTAGTCGCATTACTATTACAACTTTATTTCAATACGGAGCTATTTCACAATATTAAACTAACTAAATATATACAGAGAGAAAACAAAATGAGTGATCTTCCAATAGGCCGTATATATAAAAATTATTATTACTTTCGTTGCAATTAAAGCTTATTTTTGAAACATTGGATGGTTTGAGATCTTTTAAGATCACAAGGTAAACTATTCCAAGCCACCGCACCCCTGTAACTAAATTATTTTTTCTTGAAATTAGTGCTTGGTTTAGGTGGAAAATAATTTTGCACCTGTCTCGTTTCGTAATTGTGTACGTCATCGGTTCTTTGAAATAAATTTGATATGGAGCGAGGAACCATTGAATTTCTAACTTTGAACATTAGTGTAGCAACTTGTTGGTTCCTACGAGTCTCCAGATTGTCAAGGTTTAGGTGTTGTAGAAGAACACAGGAGCGGACATCATATCCACACTTAGTGATAATGCATGCGTGCAGCTCTGTTTTGTAAACCGGCTGCAGTTTATCAGAAAGTGTGGAGCCGAGGCCGCCCCATACCTGTGAACAATAATCAAAGTAAGGTTGCACTAATGTTTTATAAGCAATTAGTAAAGTTTCAAGGTCTAAGAATTCTCTTAATCCTTTTAGTACATTCAAACCTCTATTTACCTTAGTTGTTATTGCGTTAACCTGCTCATTCCAACTTAGCGTCTCATCTAACATTAGACCCAATGACTTAATCTTTTTAACTCGTTTGATTTTTTCTGTGCCGAGATAGATTGGAGGATCTGTTTCTATTAAATTTAGCCTTTGATAAGATCCTATAATCATATATTCAGTTTTCTTAGTATTTAAACTGAGTTTGTTTACGGTCAGCCAGTCAGATACATTTTTTAGGTCATTATTTAGTGCGTTTGTAACAGTATTTATGTCATTGCCAGATGTATCAATTTCGGTATCATAAGCAAACATGTTACACTTAACACTATTTAAGCAATTAGGGAGGTCATTTATATACAGTAGGAATAACAGGGGACCAAGAATTGATCCCTGTGGTATTCCACTAATCATGCTTGACTCTTTAGAAATATTTCCATTTACCTGGCAATGCTATGAGCGATTGGATAAGTATGATGCAAACCATTTGTGGGCAGTTCCGGTTATACCGTAACAGTTAAGTTTATTTTATTAATAGTATTTGGTGATTAACTGTGTCAAACGCCTTCTTGAGATCAAGAAAGACGACTCCATTCCGCACACCAATATCAATATTATGATATAGCCTGTCAGTGATTTCTAGTAAAGCAGTTACAGTGGAATGACCAGGTCTGAAACCATGTTGAGAGGTAGATAATAGGTTCTCATCTTGTAAATATAAATAGAGTTGGTTATGAGCAACCTTTTCCATGAACTTTAGCAATAGTTGAGATCACTGATATTGGTCTATAATTATTCATGTCATGTTTGGGTCCATTTTTGTAAATTGGCGTGACTTTGGAGATTTTCCAGTCGTGTGGAAATGTACCCTCTGATAACGATTTGTTAAATATGATAGTTAAATGGTTTGCTATAATTGGTGCTGCTACTTTTACAAGTTTAGCAGATATTTTATCTGGACCTGTTGCCCTATTTGTGGCAATATTCGATAAAAGATTGAGTATTTCTTGTTGGGATACCTCTTGGAAATGGAAACGAGCATTTGAAACGTTAATGTAGGCCTCAGGTTGTTTGTCGGTTATAGGAATATTCCGAGACAGTCGCTGGCCAACTTCTATGAAATGTTTGTTATAAAGGCATTTGGGATATCCTTGTCCTGTACTTCTTCATTATTTTCATTTTTAAAGTGACCTACATGGGAAGTTTTCGATTGTTTGTTTATCAGTTTATTTATGCTTTTCCACGTGTTTTTTTATATTGCCTTTGTTATTACTAATTTCGTCTGTGTAGTAAGTCTTGATTGTATTTTTATCAGTCGATTATACTGATTTTTTTCAATTCTATAAGACTCCCAGTCATTTGGATTGTTTGTTTTACAAGCTTTCCTCTTTAAGTTGTTCTTTCGCCATTTATTGGTCAAGAGATTTTAATTTATCCATGGCGCTCTTGTTTTGCCTAGTCTGCGTTTTTTTAATGGTACATGTTTGTCAATGATTTTCGTGAAATTACTTTTCCAATTAAGGTGGCTCGCTACAGTTTATAGAAATGTTGAAAATGCGTTAACTAGATCACCTTTTTGAAGAGATGATGCTCTTTACAAATCGAAATTTTTGCTGCCGCAGGCAGCTTCCTATTCTTGTGATTTGTTCCCAGACCTCTTTACCGAGCTATATGAATGCGACAATGAATTGGATTTAACAATGTTTGGATGTTCAGTTTTATGACGTTTTGTGACGTAGAAGATATTCCACGGGTCTTTACGGAAGCTACCGGCTGCTCTTCGGGACTTGCCAAGATTTTGCACGAGGGCGAAACTTACAAGTTGGCAAGTATATTTAGCAAATATTGCGATTTTTAAGAATTATATCTTCATGTAAAGTCATTTGTAAGGTAAGATCAAAGTATTATCTACGATCCTTTTAGTTTAAGAAAAATTTTCAGGAGATTTGACGATTTGTTCTTCTATTGTATTTGTATAGGCTCGCGTTCGATTTTATAAATCTGACAGTGCATATTTGGTGTTGAGAATCATTGTGTTCACGCTTGTAGCTGATCAATATATTTATCAGACACTTCGCATGTTGGTCACGGTGTGGCAACAGGCAACTCAAATAAAATTTGCATCAATTGTAAACAAACAAACAGAACACGAGAGCCAATTGCCATCAAAACAAACGAAAGCCACTGTACGAAGGTATCACGTGACTCAGAGCTACAGTATATATATAAAACTGCAAATATTACAGACCTCTATTTAATACTGCTGCTGATAGATCAAGTGGCAGTGATAGAATATATTGCATTTGGTTTAATGGGGGTAACAATTGAGCAATATCGTGCCTGAATTGGTGCACATTTTAATACTGTAGTTATAGTGTGAGAAGCAATGATCTATATTTTTGGCATCAGACGTTCTTTTCTCGATCATATAAATATGTTGATGTGAGCCCCTGCATATACCCCCCACCCCATGTATAAACCCATCAACAAACGCCTACGAACTTATATAAGCCCAGGGCTTATAATCGGAGGTTACGGTATTTGGTTTGTTTACAATATTTGGTAATTTGTCTACACGGTTTGAGTGTTTGACAATTGACATTTGAAATAAATGAGATATTAACTTTAAAACATTGCATTCACTGTTTTACTTGGCCAAACAAACTATTAAAATTACATGTCAGTAGTTAAACCTACTTGTTATTAGAATGGGTAATAACCCACAACAGTGGCGTGCTGGGTACTATTTTACTGGGGGGGCCAGTCGGCTGGCAACTAATATGCGCCCTATAATATTACCCTTGATAAACGAGGGCCGAAGGCACGAGCCGAGCGCCGCAGGTGCGAGGTTGTTCTAGGGGGGTCCGGGGGCATGCCCCCCAGGAAAATTTTTGAATCTAGACTCTCTGAAATGCCATTTCCTGGACTTTGGGGGAAGATTTGACAGAAATCTGATGGTCAGGAAACGGCATTACAACGTGTCGAAATTTGAAAATTGGTTAGAATTTAGTAGCAGCACTATTAAATTGGGCAATGCTAACTACTTCCAGGAATTAATCTAATCCCAATTTTATTCTCTACTGATCTGAATACATTTACAACTTACAGCTCTTTTATACAATAACACACGGACCCCACGCATATGCATTTTAAGGTTTCCTTGCCTGGCTGCCAAAAGGGCGTGTTTCATCATTATCTGATTACTTACATTACTCATAATGTTTCTTGCGCAAACAACTAAATTGCATGCACAACTTTACATTGTCATAACTTCAACTATCTAATTTGCGCCGCTCTCGTGATTCGTGAAGCATAATAAAGGGCATAATATAAGGGTATAATACCAGCAAAAAAGGGCATAATTCCCGTGATCGCTTCGAAGCCTGATCAATATTCCGGTAAGATCACACTGCGTGTGATCAATGATCATGTTTCTATATGAACGAGTGATTTCGTGTGAGTCGTTAGGTAGCAAATACGGTTAGACAAAATAGTCTGCAATTTAATATACTCACTTTGTCGCCTATGCGCTTAATAGTCTGTTTATAAGTCAATAAACACATCTTTCCTTGGCCGAATTAGCAACTATATTTTTTCGAATGCGTTTCTTCCCACCTACTTTCAAAATTCGGCGCGGGATCGACGCCCCCTTTTCATTTTTGCACCCCCCAAAAATTGCCAGCTGGGGGGGGCCGTGGCCCCCCGGCCCCCCCTGCCAGCACGCCACTGACCCACAAGTACCCCTTTGTACCCCTATGAACCAAGCATAGTGTGTGCGAGAGAGAGCCTATGGCTAGTAGGCTGGCCAAATATATAACTTTTTATTGGTAGAGTATTGCAAAGTTATTTCATTACAACTGCTCAAATACCTCCTACAACCCATCACTATATTAGTACTATATTCAGAACAATTAACAAATTTGGTTGTGAATTACCTGCAAAGCATTGCAGCTGCCACATGATGCTACCACATGATTTGTCATCAAAATGCTGACGCCACATGGTCCTACCCAGTGCATTTATGGAGGTCCGCCATTTTGAATGTTATCAGGGGGTGAATGCCTCTTAGGCTGCGTCCAGACTGGGTGCCCGGCACTTGTGCCTGTCACTTGTTTTGGCGCCTAGTTTGAACATGATGCTTCCAAATGAAATTGGGCACTGTGCCCAAGAAAGGGCACTACCTCTAGAGGTAGTACTCAACAACGGCACTGTGCTCAACATGTTTTGTGAACCATTTTGAACATTGGGCATCCGTACCGGGCACTCAGTCTGAACGAGCCCTTAGCGCACTGGCTAGTACTGATGTTGAGACGCGATTGGTAACCAGGCCTTCATGTCAAACATAAGGTAATCAAGGCGCCAACTTTTTCGCAAGTTTGCAATGCGAATACACGTACGGCAGCAATTTCACTAACTTTTTGTTATACTAGTTTATTATATATACAGCGACAATCAAACAGTCGAAAATTGGCCAGAAAAGTGACGTCACCACTGTTGCTATGGCAACAATGACGATTCAAGATGGCCGATATTTTGGCTTTGAACGCATTTTACTTTAAAAAAAGGTCGGTTACCCCCATTTTTTATTTCAGAAAGCATTTTCTTATAGTACAATACACTATCTGACAAATTTTAAAAAAATTCTGTAATGCCAAATTTTTAAAAAATTTATAAATATGGTTTTTCGAAATAATTTTTTTTTGCATTACAGAATTTTTAAAATTGGTCAGATAGTGCATTGCACTATAAGAAAATGTTTTCTGAAATAAAAAATGGGGGTAACCGATCTTTTTTTAAAGTAAAATGCGTTCAAAGCCAAAATATCGGCCATCTTGAATCGTCATTGTTGCCATAGCAACAGTGGTGACGTCACTTTTCTGACCAATTTTCGACTGTTTGATTGTCGCTGTATATATAATATACAAATTTCGATTTGTAAAGAGCATCATCTCTTCAAAAAGGTGATCTAGTTAACGCATTTTCAACATTTCTATAAACTGTAGCGAGCCACCTTAAGGTTACAGGACACCTTTGAGTGTTAAATTGGCCCAAATTTTTTTTATTGGCTTTCATAAAAGCTTTAGACCACTTCTAATATCTGACCAAGTTTGAAAGAAAAATGTTGAAAACTCGCGGAGTTATTTAGTAAAATACATTTCTCTGCAATATAAACAACATTGAAAATGTAATATTGAAATTCAATTTTCTCGGGACTATTTTTGCGGTAATTACTGATTTTCAAGCCAGTTGTTCTCCTGTGCGTTGTAACCGATTGTTCTAAAATTTGCACAGCGCATAGCTGATGACTTCAGCATAAAAAAGGTGTTCGGCTTTGTTTTAATTTTGGATATTTAGTGAATTACGAGCAATTCAGTCAACATAATTTGAAATATATTGTAATAATCAAAGAAATCAATATATCAAACGAACGGCGAAAAAGCTAAACAAAGCCGAACACGTTTTTTTAAAACAACTATTTAGCTCTACAAAAATGTTATTTTCGAAAATATATCTTAAAACCGACAGGAGAACAACTCAAAGACGTGAAGGTACCGAGTTTTTTAATTTTCCGGAGTAATTCTTGGATTATTTTATTGGTTTGTCAATTTGACAACTTTATTATATTCTGCATGCCCTGGCAAACATTTGGTGAAAATTTGACAAAAATCGGACGCTTAATAAGCGCGTAGTAGCGATTCTCCGCGAAACGCCACAAAAGGTGTCCTGTAACCTTAAGCCACGCTTTATTAACATCATTACAATCTTCAAGATTAAGTGAACCAAGGGAATTAAGGTCTTGCCCAAAAGCTTCAGCACTGAAACGCTTAAAATCACGATATTCTAAGATATTATTATTTCCTTTAAGGGTTCGAAATTTACGAACACCGTGTACTAGATAGTGGTCACTAATTGTTATTTTTGAAACTCCGGCTGAAGTAATAAAATCGCATTTATTCGTGTAAAAATGGTCGATTAAAGTCTGCGAGTCTGATAGGTTCATTAATTTTCTGGTTGTATTGGAATAAGTCCATAAGAAATTTCAGTTCTACTGTGTTGGCATCGGTTGAGTCCTTAGCAAGGTCAATATTAATATCTCCCATTATGATACTTTCTTTGTCCTCGTAATTAACATGTTGCAGTAGTTTTTCAAATTCCTTGAGTTTGTCAGTAGGTGAATTTGGTGGTCTATACCAGGTGGTTATGAGAAACGGTTTCACTTTAGGTTTTAGAATTTCAATGGTAAGAGTTTCAATTTCGTTGTTGTTTAAATCGAGTATTTCGTGAAAATTTATTGTATTTCTAATATAGACCCCCACACCCCCTCCTGATCTATTCCTACATTTGGCAATCCATGTATAGCCATCAATAGAGATGAGATCTGTTGGGTAGTCAGAGTCAAGTCTTGTTTCATTTATACCTAAGACGTCAAGTTCTTGTTCATACATGTGTATTTTCAACTCATCGATATGCTTAACTAGGCTGATAACAGTGCCGTAGCAAGCTCGATAATTGGGGGGGGGGCAGATATTCGTACATTCGTGTTCACAGACCATAAAAACAATCGATTTCTAAAGAAATTAGTAACGCAGAACACGAATATATGAATATCTTCCATTATCGAGCTTGCTACGGCACTGGCTGATAGTATTAAGATTTGCCATTTTAAAGCCTCGAATCTTTGGAATTAAGCATGTTTGCTTGGCATTAGGTTGGTTCTGCAATATTGGTTTCTTTATGCATCGATTTGCTGCAGTAGTTTTCGTATTATTAAGTCTGGGGTCGAGATGGTGGCTTGGAGATAGGAAGATATTAGTATTACTAGCATTGCACCCAACGTTTAGTCAATTATTAATTATGCATGCAATTAAATTCTTAGCTAGGAGAGACGTGCCACTGGCACTTAAGTGCAGGCCAGATGCATTTAAGTCAGTTTTGCTAATATTGTTATGTTGAATAAAACGCCACTTTCGGGTTGTACAGAGCTTATGCAGCACACTATTGGTTGCTTCTATTTTACTATTTAGGAGATCGTCACTTCGAATAATTATACTAGTTATTTTTCACCCTGCTCGGTTTCCTTTGTTCTTGTCGGGAAATATATTCAATATTCCCCTCTAATCAATTTCCGTTTAATAATCCCCTCTAATATTCACCTGCAATTAATAATCCCCTCTAATATTCACCTGCAATGTCTTTGCAGCACAAAAAATGAGAAAAAACAACATCGCGAAGGCAATATGGCGACTCATTAACGCGACCTCGCAGTGTGAAAAATAAGTACGTTATTTTGAGGCACCTCGGGGATATGTGTTTATTCACCTCGGCGCAGCGCGCCTCGGTGAATAAATCACATATCCCCTCGTTGACTCAAAATAACCTATACATATAATTACTTTAGCATTGGAAGTACGTTCTATACAGGGTATCTAAAAAAAACGCTACGGAACAGGCTGTCGACAGTGCATCATAAACGTGGCTAAACAATTCAATTTTTACATAGGACGAAAGAACAGTTATTTAGCTTTTCAATGATACTCTTTTTAAGTCGTAACGATGAGAAATGGCCACATACTCGTCAAATAAAAATTGCCGGTCGAAATCACATTCTTCCACCGTTGGGAATTGCATCGAAAACGAAACATAAACAATTCCAAAGAGGGAATTAAAATTGAATATTATACCTCAAATTCAAATTGTCCAATCAGGAAGCTTAGTTTGTGCCACGTGCCAAACTAAGGGGGAGTTTACATGAAAGGTAATTGGTTCAAGTTGCAACTTCCAGAGGTATCTCCTATTACATTTCATTTTCATTTCATATGGAAATGAGCTGGCATGCCTCATGACAAGAGTCTAATTGCTTTGCATTACCTGAGTTATTGGGCAATTACTGTACACTGGATATTTTGCAAACAAAGATCATTACCTGGGCTTGCTCGCCTACCATAGTTAGGTACATATGCTTTGTCGGTGCAAATATAATTTGATATAAGCAGTATATGTCATTCTCTTGACAAATTTTAATCTTAGAATGATAAAATGATGGACGGTATAAATACTGTATATAACTGTAACTGGTGTATATAGGTTATAATTATGAAATTTGCTCACAAAAGTGGTATAGATTTAATTAAATTATATATATTTGTAGTGCTAATTCTCCCAATACTATGTTTTGGATAGCCAGCATGGCACCCTGATGATTACCATTGATAAGTGTATGGATATATTTGACGAAGATGTGCATTTATATAATAACACAGGGAAAATATTGATCAATACTACTGCGCAGCCTTTCTACATTGACATCATCTTAAAAGAGTACTATATTAATATATTAGTTGAAAGGCAGGCAAAAGGGGACTGATAGAAGACATCTGATGATTCAATTATGTCATGATACATTGTTTATCATTGTACAGTTTGGTAGGTTCATTTGACAAACAATTTTCAACTAAGATAGTTCATTAAATCAATTTCCACACAGTAGGCTATCACTATATATCTATTGATTTAACGTTTGGGGTCATGTGTACCTAGTTATACTTATAGAATTTAATTTAAAACTCAGTGCTTGTTGTGTGTTAGTTTATTGGTTTCCTGGTGACAGGGCAATATTCTCAGTAATTTAGAGTGTGGGCTAGTCACCATGCAGTTCATATCATAGGCATATATTGCTAGGGGGTGAATAAAATTGACATACTGATGCCAACAACACTGTCCACACAGAGTACGATTAGCAGCATATAAGACAGAGTTGTATATAAATAAGTTTACCCACTAGAGCACAAAATACCTTTATGCACCATTCTGATTCAGAACCATCCTCAGAGATACGAAAAACTAGTTTCATATTAATCTGACACTGCAATCGAGCAACGAAAAATTCGTTCGCTCGAGCCAACGAATTTTTCGTTGCTCGATTGCAGTGTCAGATTAATATGAAACTAGCACCCTTCTAATGCTAAAAGATTTTACTCATGGAACATTGGAAATTAGTGGAAATTAATAAGCCTAAGGGAAGGTGGTTAAGAAACGTAATAACACTGTCCGCTTTTGAGTCCAACAATGCAACTAGTGGATCACACTGTATACACCTTTGTTACACGTATGTGTGTATTTGCGTTGTCGTGATTTTTTGCCGAAATGTTTTGCAATAGAAAAGTTAAGGCTACAGGAAGCACAGTACTGACTATTTTTGGATAGAGACTTATGTACCGCTACTGCTATAACACTTGTACAAGCGAATATTTTTTCTTATATGTAATATGGAGAAACTATGTTGTTTTTGCGATATAGGTTCAAGTTTTTTACGTGCTTTCCAAAAATGCAGCAAATAATTTTGTGACTCTGATATATGAATTGGAACAAAAGAGTTTGCTCAGAACGCAGGAAATCGCATTTCCGAGGTTCTAGATTTCAAAATTTCCCGGGGGAGGATACCCTCGGACACCCCTACAAATGCGAGGTCTTATGTATGCATCAGTCACGTCAGGAGCTAGATCCGCCCCTGAGACACCCTGTATATTCACCTAGTTTGGCAGTCTTACTTGCAATATCCTCAGGTTCGTCTCTTGGAATGTTATTTGTTCCTGCATGGATTATGACTTCTTTCGGGTTCTTGTTTAATGTTGGTTTTACATAGTGATCCATATCTTCGATGCATGCCCCCGATGCATGTTTCCTACAGATTGCCGTATTCGTCATACATCTAGTCGTTTTACCATGGAATCCCCGAGTATTGTTACCGAGTCTTGATTACCGAGAGTTGTTTTTGTTGGTTTACATACGGTATTATGTCGCATTTGATTACCATTTGCATTAATTGAATATGGTGTTTTCTCCTTCGAGGGCTCTGATTCCTCAACGGTGTCCTCAATAAACAACGGAGCATAACGATTTGACCCCAAGATATGATCTAGGTTAGGGCCATGGGCGACAGGATTCCTTTCTAGCGCCGTCTTAGTATTATTTCCTTTAGAAATAGCATTGGCTTCCTTGTGAGTGATCTGACTTTGATGGTTCAGCGCCGTTTTACAGCCAGTTTCAATGTCCGTCGGCAACAATCGGATGGCAGTTAAGAGGCTAGCCTTTTCTTCCTCAGAGGTTTTTAGTTTGGTGTTCAGATCAGAAAGGACAGAACCAAGGTTATTTAGCATTTTAGCCTTTCGTTCAAGGCTACATTTTCTTCTCTTAATTGGCTGTTTTCTTGGCGAAGGCATTCTACGTGGGCTTCGTTAATTACTTTCGGCACTCCGGATCGTTGGTCTTGAAGTTCAGACTTTAATAAGATTAGTTGAGCTTTTAAAATTTCAACGGTGTCCTCAAGGGAATAGAGTCGCTCATTGTTGATTAGATATGGCGTCTTGCATGCCTGGTCGTTCGTTGTTGGATGAATTCCAATTTCGTTCGAGTAAAGGTGGTTCTCGTCGAGATTTTCTGTGATATTCGTTGCATTTAGTCGCATACAATTCAAGTTGTTTTCCTATTTCTTCGGCTTTTAACCCATTTATCGTTATATTATTGCTCGAGCGGTACCAGCGTAGTGCAAGCTCTTCGGTTTTTAGAAGCTTCGCATTTCCACCAGGAGTTGACCATTTGCCTTTCATCTTTAAAACTTCTTCGGTAAACTTCTGTAAAGCTGCAAAATCGCCTTGCCATTTGTATTTACCCTTATCGGTAAAGACGAGTGGAAATTCACATTCATCGTGAGGTATTTCGGTATTCTCAACGGAACTCATTTCTGCCGTCTGCATTGCTCAATAGCTCTTGCTTGCGTGTAAATAGGTCTTTTTTCGGAGAAGCATGGCCCGAATCCCCCCTACAATGCCCGAAGCCTTCCCCCCCCTGCAATGTTCCTTACATTGTATTCCACCACGCAGTTGAGAGTTGCGCCTTTTTGCGACTTTTGAGATACTTATTTCTGCGACCTTTTATTAGAAGCAACTCGTGTTCGCGCGTTAATAAAATGATACTTGCAGCATTAATATAAACAGTTAACTAACTACTCTAGTCAACCCAACTATATAGTATGTCAGTGCCAACAACGGTGGAAGATACTGTACAAGTATCATCAATTCAAAAACTTCTTCACGTATTTTACCTCATCAAACTTTCTAAACTGTACAATTTCAATAAATAATTGCGAGACGTGGGTTCACTTTCCTAACTGAAAGAAAATTATAAGGGGAACCCCCTAGTAACTGGACACAACTATATAAGAGCGAAGTTAATAAAATTAAACTTACCTAATCCGGTCTCATACGCAATAAAAGGAGCAAAAGCGACAAATGTCATCAATATTGCACAAATTATATCAAGTCTATAACCCAACCAACGATTGGCAGCTAAGTAATAATAACTTGCCGACGTATTACAATCTTGATACTTATTATACATCTCATGAAACTGATTTTGCTCTTCAGAAGCACGGATAGTTGCTAATCCTTGAAGGGTTGCAGAGATATGAGAATATAGAGGACTACGACCTGAAATGTAAATGAAAAGAGTAGTAATATCGGTATCGATCGAGCGACTTTTCTAGGGGATGGAAGGGGAGTTCTCATTAATATGCACAATAATATGTGCACATTATGTATGCAGACGTCACTAATGATGTATGCATGACGTCCCTCATTATGTATGCATGACGTCACTCATTATGTATACGCGTAACAAGACAATGTTATGGGCAATCTGAGTGTTATGGTACATGGCGCTAAATCAAACAGAATTGCAATTTTGGTAATACACTAAATAAGTGTTTTGGTAAGTGTAACTTTGAATCTATTAGTTTGTAAAAGAAATGTGCCACATTTAAAAGAACTAGGTCATGTTACGAATGGCACTATACAACGAAGCAATAGTGACTTACTTAGGGCCTCAATTCTCTTGATTTCTCTGGATGACTTAACGAAATACTGTCTTAACCAAACGAAGACGCCAATGATTGGTACAACGACAACAGCAATATAAGGCTGAGAAAGCACACTGATGAGAAGTATTGCCAAACCAAAGACGGTGAGCTGAAAAATAAAAAACTTTGTCATATATAGTATGCACATACACACTACAGTATATATGACACGATGTGATTTACACGAATCACTAGCTTAACTAAACCAACCACAACCCTAAACTGAATCTTCCTTCACAACCATCTTTACAACCTTGAACCGTACAAACCACAACATTAAAGCACAGGCCGCCAACTACACAAACCACTAACTTAACCTCCTTCACAACCTTAAACCGTACAAACCACAACATTAAACCAACCAACTATGAGGCAACCAACTAAGCGAACCACTATCTTAAACTGAATCAACCACGTGCACAACCCTAAACTGAATCAACCACCTTCACAACCTTGAACAGTACAAACCACAACATTAAACCGCAGGAACAGAGGCCGTCAACTGCACGAACGACAACTTTGAATCACACAAATCGGAACCGCCATCCAGAAGAACCACGACGGCCAACTGTAAAGGCTGCTTTCCTGTTAGGCGTTTTTCATACGTACGGAAATGTTTAAATATTTCTAAATGCTCTTCTTTTATTTATTTAACAAGACGTACGCCTGCTCAGGCGTTCACAGTGACACAGGCCTCGATTGGCAAACTATACAAAACGTGGTTTGGGCTCAATTCCCAAAAAAACGTTGTTCACAGCAACACAGACCTTCTGTTTATTCAGTACCGGTATAACTATGAATAATTTAACACCCTATCTGGAAAACCAACAGAAGAATGACTAATGCGCATGCAGACGGAGTAATAAATGAACGTCCGCCTGGGCGTTTGCGGTTTGCTTCGTCGCACGATAAAGCAGGATTGCAAGTTGCAACCTATATACCCCGTAACCCTGTAGGTGATGTTGTAAAGGATAGTCAGTTGCATGCAGTCTTGCAGACCAGAATTTCTCGACATAAATTTTTGTTGTAGATATTGCCTCCAAGTAGACAAGAATGCACGATCTGCATTAATAGGCCTGCATATTTCAGAGATGTTGAACAAATAGGGACAAATGTAAGGGGCCACCTTAAGGAAGTTTTGTAGATGAAAATTATCCATCCTAACCTGAAAAGCATCAAAGAACGCTAACGGAAGCATATCATCCATCAAGCCTAGGTCTTTTGAGAATCGGTTTAAAACGCGACCTAAAAGTTAAATTAACAGAATTTAATAACACTTAGTTTCTTTAACTCTGCTAGTTGCTGAATTGACTATAACCGACATGTTTTTGCTCTGGTTGAATAACTTAATGCAATACCCGAACCGTCATACCCGGATATGATGTGTTCACCAGGAGGAATGAAAAGTCGCGGCGTAGTTGCTAACGACACATCAGCCATACAGACCGAACGCGATTCGACAACGCGCGATGCGAATTTTCAGTTTTTAAAAACAAATAAAACCGTCAACGGATAAAAATTTTACAAGATATGCAGACCAATAGCTAAAATTGCTTAAGTGGTTCCGAATATTTGAAAAACATAGAAAAATATTAAAGTTAAATGTCGTTGAAAATTGAAAATGGCCGCAACGGACGCGATTCCACAACGCGACGCGATTGTTCGATTTTCACTGACCGATAACTTTGATGCTGGTTTAGGTTTTCCAAATATCTTTTAAAATGTCTTTTCATTGACTGTTTTATTAACATCCAGAGACTGAAAAATCGCGCCACGTTGTCGAATCGCATCCAGTGTGTCTCACGGCCTTAGCACAATTAAGGACTCCAATGAATGATTGCTCGCACTACTTTTCGACCAAACATCACGACATTTTATAGTAAATTAATGTATAAGCCAATTATTACTGAACAGTCACTATAATGGCTAATACACAATCATAACGCGCAGCGCAACAATTTTTAACTTTCGGTCAATTTTCGGCCTATTGTTGCAGAATTACCTAACGGAACAAGATATTCAAATAGCAATGCAGTGCTGGAGGTACATGATTTATAATCAAAACTTACCAACAGGATTTGTGTCAAAGAAATATATCGGAGCTCTGAGAATAGTTCTAAACATCTCGTCATGTAAATGTCGTGATGCACTGGTTAGGATTTGAAACCAGAAAACCGCTCTAACAAATGACAACAGGCACACTGATATGACAGTACCAACATAGATCGTTATATTTTCGACGCGTTTTTCTTCTATTGTACTCTCAGAGTTATTGCTATTTGCTTCGGTTTCTTCCCAATCAGACCTGAAAATGCGTAAAGACAAATCTACATTTAAATTAAATTACTTTATCACGTGTCAGTAGTATAGTAGGTACCGATCGATCCGGACTTTTGTGGTGGTGGCGTGTGGTGGTGGCGCATCATCATTAGCATAGACTGTGGTGGCGCATCATCATTAGCATAGACTGTGGTGGTGCATCATCATTAGCATAGACTGAGGTGGCGCATCATCATTAGCATACGTCATAATTATATGCATTGACGTCACGCGAGCGAGCTTAGACAAAATCGGGTGAAACTTGCTGACTAGGCATTATTTAGCGTCCCTCCACGTGTGTGATACAATAGAGGGATTAAGATTGGCTTACTATGATTGATTCGAGTCCCTCATATGGCAAAATTGTTATCGAATTTAATCCCCGAGCCGACGGCGCGAAGCGCCGTGCGAGGGTACTAATTCCCCCCGGCTATTTACACCCGGGGAAACGAAAGCATAAGCGAAGTCTAAAGTTCATCAAATATCGCGGGCGTGACCAACGAACTTGAGTGGGTGGTCATCCTCACTGATCTCAAAAATATGGCTGATTGCTTGTGGGAGTGGGATAAGCAAGATTTCAATTAGTTTTAAAAGACATATATTTGGAAAATCGTTTCACATACAACAAGCTTGAAGCAATTTTGTTTGAAGAAATGAGAAGAATTGATTTACTATGGGAAATCGTGAAATATAAGGCAAGTTTGCTTTGAATTTTGTTGCTTTAACCTTTTGCCTAAAAACATGAACTGCTTTCCTTTTCAATGAAGCTCTAAGTTTCATAAATTACCTTTTAATTTGAACAAATTGATTTGAAGACTGAACTAAAATTACCTAACAATTTGTTTTGTGTGTAAAACAGTTTATCGGCAAATGTTCTTCTCTCATCTAGAGTCGGCAATATATATATATATATATATATATATATATATATATATATATATATATATATATATATATATATATATATATATATATATATATATATATATATATAGATCATCTAGTTACTGTTCGTTTACCTTAGATAGATATAGATCATCTAGTTACTGTTCGTTTACCTTAAAGAAGCGAGTTAAAGACTGAAATATATCTTGAAAAGTGTTCGAAATACGGCGATAATGGGCAAATAGTTTGACGACTAAATATTGGCATATAATGACTCAAAGAATCCAACTCAATGCAGGATGGTTTGCTTTAGTTGTTTTTGTTTTCACTATAGCGGCTTCTCAAGATGGATATACCGAGCATACGTTAGATATTCGAAGGGCGAAAGGGAAAAACTATTGCCAAAAGAAAAGTGAAATCGAGAAGCTATTCAGCCCTTGGAATTGCATATTGGAAAGTGGTTTGTTGAGCATTGACGGTATTAACTTGAACTTGAGAGTTAAATTTGCAATAAATTGTATGCCTAATGACTGTGAACAATGGAGACTTCATTTGTCGGTAACTACTAGCGATTACCATGGTGATGGACTCAATGAAGCGAATTATTTGAATAGCATCAATACTTTCCAAACAGATTTTTGCATATTCAAAAGGCATCCTTTTGTTGGAAATACCGCCACGGGTAATCCCAAATTCCGAAGACGTGTTAAGATAAAAAAGCACAATTGTCCGTGTAGTTATTATTCAGGCTCAACTGCAACATTCCGCTTACCTCTAATTGGTGACCTTTTATTTAAACTCAATCCTGGTCCCATTACACCCGTGCTTAACTCTATCCCAGTAATTGTTTCTTCGCGAACGTACAATACGAACAGATCATGTGTACATCGGTGTACCGGGAATATTATTAATGTGGCTCGTCTGCCTTATTTACCAGTGAATTATTATCATGGGAACTCATTGTTATTATGCGTCTTGAACGCGCGATCTGTGAGGAACAAAACAGCGGCTATTATGGATTACATACGCGACAGCAATGTGGACCTGTGTGCAATCACTGAAACTTGGTTGACTCCAGATGACGCAGCGGTAAGGGCAGAACTTTGTCCTAATGGATTCAAGTTTCTAGACAACCCTCGCACTGGCCGCCGTGGTGGCGGGATTGGGTTGCTTTACCGCGACTCTCTGCAGGTCAAAACAGTCAACTCGGGAGAGAAGAGCTCGTTTGAATTCTCTGAGTGCATTGTGACATCATCATCCTCTCGCGATCTACGAGTTGTCAATATTTACCGCCCCCCATATTCTGGTGAGCACAAAGTTACCACCTCAGTATTTTTTACGGAGTTTGCAAACTATATTGATTTATTATTTACAGAAGCCTTCCTGTTATGTAAAGAGCAGTTGATAATTACGGGGGATTTCAACATACATATCGATTCCCCTGAACAACCGGATGCACGGACGTTCCTCGACCTCTTAGATTCTTTCGGTCTTAAACAGAATGTTATGCAACCTACTCATATCAGCGGACACACCTTGGACCTACTTATTACTCGCATATCAGAAGATATTATAAAGGACCCTCCTGTTGTTGATCGCTTTATATCAGACCATGCTTCAATTCTGTGTAATCTGCAGCAAGCAAAACCAGCTCTAACTATAGTGTCGAGAACCTACAGGAAGATTAAATCTGTGAATCTGGCATCACTCGAGGCAGATTTAGCTATGTCTGGATTATGTAGGGATTCACTCGAAGAATATGATCTTGATGAACTTGTTCGGAAATACGATAACGTACTTTCTGATGTTACAGAACGTCACGCTCCTTTGAAGACCAAGAGAATGGTGGCGAGACCTGCTGTTCCCTGGTACAATGAGGAGATTGATATTGCTAAACGGTTACGACGAAAAGCCGAAAGGAAGTGGAGGAGAAGCAAATCGGTCGTTGACTTTACTCACTTTAAACAGAAGAGAAACCAGGTGACGTACATCATGAATCAGGCCAGACGGAAATTCTACGCCGATTTTATTGAAGAGAATAAGGCAGATCAGGGACAATTATTTAAGGCCGCCAAAAAACTTCTGGGAAAAAAGAGGAACTATCTTTTCCAGATCATTTTGAAAAAGTGTCCTTGGCCAATGACATCGGCAGATTTTTTGTAAGGAAAATTGAGAATATACGCTCAGACATTAACGCGGTCCAATTCGATCTTGATGTAGTACCCAAGGATCTGGTGCTAAACGAAACTCAGACATTCGGTGATTTTCAGCAACTCACTGAGGAGGATGTAACAGCGCTAGTACAAAAGTCAGGGAAAAAGTCATGTGCACTTGATCCCATGCCTACCGGATTAGTAGTCAAGTGCCTTGGAACACTTCTACCTGTATTAACTCGCATAAATTAATTTATCCCTTGCATCTGGGAAATTTTCTGAAGAGTGGAAGGAAGCACTTGTGGTTCCATTGTTAAAACACCAGGGGTTGAATCTGGAATTCTGCAATCTTCGCCCAATTAGTAACCTTCAGTATGTATCGAAGTTGATAGAACGAGCTGTTTTCGAGCAGATGAATAACCACATGATGCAGTTTGGACTTTATCCTGTTTTACAATCAGCATATCGCAAGGGACACTGCAGCACGGAGACCATTCTCCTCAAGATACAGAACGATATTCTTCTCAATATGGATAAACAGAACGTAACCTTGTTGGTGTTCCTGGATTTGAGCGCCGCATTTGACACTGTGGACCATGACATCCTTATTTCACGCTTGCAGTCTAGTTTTGGGATTAAAGGAAATGTCTTGAACTGGTTTTCATCATACCTATCAAACAGAACACAACGCGTGACTCTTAGCGGTTGTGTTTCGGACAGTTTCTCCCTGGAACAAGGTATTCCACAAGGTTCTTGCTTAGGACCGTTGCTATTTACAATATACGCTAGTAAGTTGTTTCAGATCATAAAAACTCATCTTCCGGATGTTCACGCGTACGCAGACGACTCACAGCTATACCTTGCATTTAAGCCAGACAGCGAATTGAATCAGGATGCGGCAGTAGAATCAATGGAACTTTGTGTAAAGGATATCAGAAGGTGGATGATTGCTGACAAACTGAAGATGAATGACGAAAAAACGGAGTTTATGATAATCGGAACTAAACCACAATTAGAGAAAGTCAACATTGATCACCTGATGGTTGGTTCTTCAAGGGTGTCTCCTGTGCCTATCGTAAAAAATCTTGGGACGTGGTTCGACTCGAACTTAAATTTGAGAGAACATATCAATAAAACTTGTAGGGCTGCACATTTTCAACTTCATAACATCAGACATATTCGAAAGTATCTATCTGACGTAGCAACAAAAACCTTAGTTCATGCGTTTATCATTGGGCGCATAGACTATTGCAACAGCCTCTTGTATGGTTTACCATCCGTCCATCTAAACAAACTACAGCGTGTACAGAACTCTGCTGCCAGACTAATTTGCAATATTTCCAGATACGAACATATAACACCTGTACTGTATACTTTACATTGGCTACCTGTTCAGTATCGAGTCAATTTTAAAGTTCTTATTCTCGCCTTTAAGGCAATTCACGGACTTGCTCCTGATTATATAAGTGATCTGATATGTATCAGAGACAAGTCATCTTATAGTCTTAGATCAAATAATGCAGGTTTACTGCTTGCACAGCCAAGGGCTAGATTCAAGAAAACATTGGGAGACAGATCATTTACATCTGCTGCCCCAAAACTGTGGAACATGTTACCATGTCACATTAGAAATACGGACAGTTTTAACAGTTTTAAAAAGAGTTTAAAGACACATTTATTTAGATTAGCTTTTGATATAAATACATAGATAGGTATACTTCAATTTTAACTATTTTAATACTTTATTGTACAGCGCATTTGATCATATATAAATGCTAATTTGCGCTATATAAATTGTAATTATTATTATTATTATTACCTAACATATATATATTGGAAAATTAATAATTTTGTAATTAAAAGTTATATTTTTTAGGCGATTTTTCATTTGCAAGAATATTCTTAAAAATTATCGTGTTACCATGACAACTACTTCAGATACTTCATGTTCGGAAAATACAATGGTTTTGTCTGTTTGTCAGCAAGGCGAGGGTTCGGATAGTTAACTAATCACGTAGTTAACTGTGCGTGGGGCGTTTAAACACAAAATTACATAAAGTAAGCAGAGAGTAACGACCGCTGACACACATTTTCAACATGATTGTGGACTCGTATTTTGCAAATAGGCGGGAATTTTATTCAAAACACTAGAAAACAGTGAAAAATAAACAAGAAAACAAGGAAAAACCGCCACAAAAATCATAAAAGAATGCAGTTTTTCCTTGAGATGTCTACGTAAAACCAAGGTCTAGCTGTTTGGCAATTATACATCAGTGTTTCTTGGTGTAATGGACCATACTTCGTCTTCGAGAAATCGTCCCGTGCAAAAATATGTTCTGTTTTCGTAAAAACACCAAAGCGATAGCGTTTGAAGAGTTTATATTGTCAGGAAACATTCACAGGGAAGATAGCCATTGAAAATGTCAGGTAACCGTTGCTTTTCATTGTTGTTTTACTGAAAAATGTTGTTCACTCCTATACAAACGCCATTTTTACTGAACTACGTTTTGGACATTTAACTTTAACTACTTTTTAACTGCAGTTAAGGCTAACTACACTTTTATACAACCGGCTTAACTACGTGATTAAAGTTAACTATTTTTTAAGGCTTTTTAACTACTTTTTAACTGCAGTTAGCGCTAACTACGTTTTTATACAACCGGCCCCAGTAGATGTGCAAGAACTTGTGACTGTTTAACAAATGGCAAATGCAAACTTTGTGAAACAGGTGGTGGTACGGCGAAATGTTTGGCAATACAAGTATTTTTTCTAGAGTTATTTTTCGAAGAAACTTGAGCTGAATGCTTGGCTTCAATAAAACTATAGTCTACAGTTTTGGTGGCGGCAATCGAAAAGATCTTGCGAGGTAAATCCTTTTACTGTACAGTGTACACCATGTTGATTACGGCATTTGTGTACCAAACAATATTTTGAAAATCGGCATAAGGTACTTTTCCACAGTATTACAACACAATACAACAGTAAATTGTGATGTCCATGCTTAGACCTTAGGCATAGCATCCCAAAATGGACAGAAATTTAGTTGCTGTATCTTTTACTTTAAGCTCGTATTTTTTCAAAGCCGACTTGTAGGTATAAAATCATTTCAAAGGCTCGTACGGGACAAATAAGAATCTTAATAGTATTTATAGACTTCGAATTTACTTTTTGAGGTTGATTTTCCTCCATAAAATCTTTGTACACTGTTTGTTTCACCAACAATTTTACATGTTTTTTTTTATCACTCCTTTGACGTCCATTCCGAATACGAGTTAATCGGCCGATTAGCAAGTTAACCCACCTAGCGAGGAGGGTTAAATTTAACCCTTGTTTTAACCGAGGGTTAAGGATAACTTAGGTTTGAACAACGCAAAGTGACCTAGGGTTAAAATTTAACCCTATATAGGTTAAGCAAATTTAACCCTAGGTTAGCGTTAATCGGCTTTTGAACAACCGGCCCCTGGGTTCTAATGGAAGTTCGTCTTCGTCAACTACGAATCGAAAAACAATAAAGAAACTAGGGATCCAAGGATAGTGTGAAGTTTCAAATTGAAAAAGACACTGCAAGAACTATATAGGGTCGCCGACACTTACACTACGAAATAAACAGTTACCAAAGGCATTTCATCTCACTATCTATTGTTTTTAATGCGTTCGGTACACGAGTATAGCGCGACGTTTGAAACAAGCCTAACACATCATACACCTTGTGCCTCGTAGAACTGATACAATTTATTTATTTATTTATTGTGATGCTACACGCGACAACTCGAAATTTAAATTGTTTAAGCAACAACCAAATTTTGCATATTCTAAAACTTCATTTGCATTTGCAAAAGCATCGCCACGAAGCTACTGATATGCTAAACTTATTTAAAACTATGATTATTCCCATCATCCTTTTAGCGCCCATATTGCACATTTGACTATTGTCTCAGTGACAACTTTAATTGAAATAGCTGTGTAAGATATGTTATGAATAATAAGTACTACGACGTTGCATCATTAAACGGACGCATTTTATTCCCATCCGTTCCGTATTTTATCCCATATCCGTTCCATTGATCCGCTCCATCCGCATTTTAACCTAAATGTGACATGTTTCACAACAACAAGTCTCATTTACCTTTGACTTTATATTCCCAGTGTCACGTTGTGTCATTTTCAGCTTTTCGCAAGTATTCAATGTCACTATAGATTTCAATAGTTTCACAGTTATAGCAGTGTTTAAAGCAGTTTTGACAAGCTTTGATACAGCTCTGCATACCGTACCCACATCTTTGTGTACAGATTGATTCTCGTAAGATCTGGTAGAGTTATCGTTGCACTGAACTGAGAGTTTGTCGGTTAACCGAGTGTCCGAGTCAAATCCGAGCCCGAGTCAAATGTCCGAGTCATAGTATTGTATTCACAACACTCTCACTTGCACTTTTTTGTTTTAAGATATGGAAACATTGATCAAGCGCTCCGGTGCAGGTGGAAGCCAGCTAGTATTTTCACGAATTTTCAGCGAATCGGGTAGGGTGGGAGGGTCGTTTTCCGGTATCTAGCTCCCTGGTCGCTTGATCAAATTTGAAGGGACGAATGCAGTGAGAACGACCTTATTTATAGCCAGAAGACCTCCCCCAGGCCCCTACGCTCGTATTGTGAATAGTATTCTATTCACAACACTCTCACTTGCACTCTTTTGTCTTAAGATATGGAAACATTGATCTCGACGCTCCTTAACATTAATTCACACCCAAAAACTAACTGATACATTGATCCAAAACCAGGAATAGACCTAAATTCCTAACTTAATCCAAAACTTAACCCCCAAACCATAACTCATAACTCAAAACTCAATCGATACGGTCTTTTAGTGGTTAGACCTTTTGTAAGAACAACTACATACATATTCCAGATTCATGTGGGCGCTTTTGAGAAGGTAGACTCGGGAATGCGGAAACAAACTGTCGCAATTCAGTAGTATCTTCCCACTTCTGTGTAACTGCAGACAAATCAACCTCAGCAAGTCGGGATGAAGTCCCAGCTGGGTTAAGGACTTTCGCCAATTGAAGGTAATACAGGACTGTGTGTCGCTGTGTCCAGCCCACATGGTCCATAACTTCCCGGCAACTTAAATGCAGCATCGGTCATCCACAAATTCAGGAAACGTGCATCATGACATAGTCGAGGTTTCATAGGTTCCACAGTCAATGGCAATATCAGGTATGGTGGCGAAGCCTCGCTAACTCTGCCAAGGAGCGAGATCGCTCCAGTTTGGATTTGAGCTAACAAGGTGGTTCGGATAAACTCAGCAAAAGGGGGGCACGAGGGATTATTGGAAAACTGAGCAGGTGGTGGACAAGTTGTATTATAAAATTGTCCTTTAAAATTACCACGGAACGGGCGAAAGTACTCTGAAACAGAGACTTTTTCTCGAATCCATCTTAGAACCTGGAGTTGTTGAGGATTGAGATACTCTGTTTTCGCAACTGTCACCCGCTGCAAGCCAATGTGGGAAGAACAGGAATAGAAGTTGTAGACATAATACCTGTATACATACCCAACACCTACATACATATACATACACACATACATAGATGTACATCCATAGACAAATATGAGATAGAAAGAAACCAATTTCAAAGGTTTAATTATGACGATAGTATTTTCCCTGAATACACTGTAAGTCATATTAATACAATTACTGTCACACGACAACGAGAAGACTGTTTATTATTTATCAAACCACAGGCAGAAGCTTATAATAAGTATGAAGCATTAAGTGTAATGTTACTATTGTTTATAGTTCCAAGAGCCACTTTTCTCGTCGCGTCTTCTCTTAAAGCAATTCCTCCTCACATGCCCAAACCGTTGGCAATAAAAACACCGTACTGAGTAGTATGGAGACGTTGATGACTGACGAGACAAGGTTGCACTTGTTGTGGCTGTAGGTGCAGCTGGAGAACCACGCTTGTTGTGTTTTTTCACTTTCGAAACAATATCTAGTATTTTTTCCTGATCCTTATCGCCCAAAAGCGGCAGACGAAATTGACGAAATTGCGCATCCGTACTTTCATTGAGCTTCGGTCGAAGAGTTTCATACGCCAACGTGTAATAATTAGCCTTGTCATGTCGATTGTCTTGGGCCGCATTTTCGCGGGATGCAGACTTCCTAATTTTCGTTAGCAAACTCTCCAGAGAGGAAGTCGTCAATAAATCAACTTTGGCTTGCAACTCGGCCGGCAAACGTCCAAGCGTTAACGATCGAACTACGATTAAGTTTGAAAGGTACATCTACAACCCGGGCCAAAACTCATGTGGACACTTAATCCACTTTTGCAAAAATCATAACAAACACCTAAAACTTGAATTTACTTGCACCTCCCCCACTCCCCCTCTTCAATGTTGCTTATGCGACTTAACCACACTTCGTATTTTATGAAAAATCCCATTCAACATTGGCATGGGGGAGCGGGGGTATAATTATTTAGGAAAAACGCCATTCGAGGCCAAATTCTGTGGGTTGTCCACAACGTTTTGTCCAGGATTGTCTGAAAAATGATGGACATGGAGAAGCGCTGTTTTATCACTTGTTCTTTAACATTTGATATGTCTGATGAGACTATAACGCATACCTATGTTTTCTAAGTTTTTGTTATACAGTTTGATAGCTGATGACGTCGCTATTAGCAATTACGTCACTTCCGGATGTTGTAAATATAAGCTAATTTGTGGGAAGCGTGCGTAAAACCAACTATACTGAATAGGTGCGCGCATAACTTTTTCTCAATATTATACATGGAAGGTACACCGACTTTACTGTTCAGATACATAGCTAAGGTGCCCATTTAGGCGGTTATAAGAGAGAAATTGACGGTGCAGAAAATTTTCAGTGCCATATCAATACGGAGATTCAATATGATTCCAGAACGTCTCAAGCTATGTAGCAATTACCTTATTCCATGGAATAAATTATTGTATTTTTGCATATTTAGTGATTTTAACGACTCTTGTAGTTTTAAACAGCCTATATTTTTATACACAGCCCTAATATATTACGCGCCAATGACAAGAACCTTGCAATATCAAAATAGAAAAGCTTCAGTACTCAAAATGAAATATATCATGTTAACCTTTTTCGCCATTTGAAACGCAATATAATTTGACATTGAAGATTCTTAGCATTTCCAAAGATAAGTGTCTATCATAAACTGGTACGCGAACTCGATACAGCTACAGTCATTAAATACATACAATGCACTTATACTTGTAAATATTATTTTACAATTGAAGTTTGTCAAAGAATGCGATATTGCCGTACACTTTTCAATACTGTGCGCCAACTATAGCACGGTCTACATTAACTTCGAACTTGAATTATACACAATTACTGCATTGAAATGTAACGATTTTTCTTAGGAAACTACCTACATATTATACTTGTTATTAAAATGTTTTTATAATTTACACAGTAGAGAAATAAAAAGTTACCACGGTCTACATATTAAAAGTAGCTCTTTGAATATAATAGATAATAGCTCATTAGTATTCATGAAAATACGATTTTTGTGTGTAGACCGTGGCGATTTTTAAGGCATACCTGATTTTATATGATTTGCTGCATACTGGTGCAAAACGTAATTGGACAAGCCTTTTAATCTATATTTTTTATCGATTGCGCGCTTATATACTTCTAAAATCACTCCAAAAAAAGTGTAGACCGTGTTTCGAGCTTCGAATACTATGTTACACATTACGTCACTCGATCGGAAAGTATAACATATCAACTTAACAATTATAGCAAAGCCCTGTAACTTAATATAATTCAGATGTGTACTTCCTGCTATAAATCATTTATAGTTTTCTGTCAAGCATTGTATTCAGCAAGTTTTAGATGCACCTTGAAATTG